ATAAAACATAAATTGAGTCTTATTCCTTTCTTCCAATGTTCAAGATACAATATACGAGTTTTTAATATTCTGTGTTGTGGATTCAATTTTGGAAGTCTTTGGTCTTACCTGGCACCACCCCCACCATAGATCGAAACTATATTTTTCTGAAACCTCAAAATATATTCTTTCAGAATATCCATGTTAACATGGGAGAAATTGGGACTCACTAAAAATAAACTTCACATTAGGTACTAGGATATAAAATTTGAAGACCCAATTTAGCGACTGAAATATGCAAAACTTTTTTCAGAACTAACCGATTTGATAAATAATTAAACCGTTTTACTCAAAATTTGATAAGCACCAATTTGTTATCCTTGAAGGCATCTTTGCAAAAAGTGCGTGACGTCATTATTTACTTAAACGTCATTTTTTGCCCAAAAAGTCAGATTTTTGAAGCAACCTGAAAATGACGACATGTTTTCTATTTCAGATTGGTAACAAATTGAAAAACATCATGAATTAGTCTTATTTTAACCCCCAAAATGAATTTTATCTGATAAAACTCACCAGAAAACCTTTAAAATTATGTTAGATTTATACTCTTATGACATCACTATAATTAACATTAAAGCAGGGATGACGTTAAGCACACTGAGTATTTTAAATTCAAGTCGGTCTTACTAATGTTAAATATAATCTACCTTAAAAATATAAGCAGATATTTCATATTGACTTTTACCTTGTTTAAAATTAAATATTTTGGTTTCCATGGCAACAAAGTTGGCTTTAGCTACTTGTTATTAGAGACCAACCAACCAAGGGGCGTTCCCAAAGTGGTTTAAACAACGATGATAGCAGGCGAACTTACAGAATTTGCATAAAAATAGTAAATTAAACACTAATCCATAATACAATTATATCAGCTAAGATATGGCTTCTCGAGGTTTTCCATCTTTAAATAAAAAATTGGAAAATATTATATTATTCTACTTCAAACCCTTATTTCTTACCAATTTTTTTACATAAATTAGTTACCAAAATAGGAACCATTTTCTTTTGGACCAAACCTCCTGATATTCTCTCATCCTCTTGGATTCTGCCCAAATTGGAGAAGAGATAACATTGTTGCGTCTAGACAAAAGAAACGGTGTAAATCAGGTTTGAAATCAACTAATGAAAATGTTACACCAGTCTAGTGTCATTCGGAGCTAATTTGGTCGATGGTAGTCAATCTGGGATGGTTTGGTGTGAACAGATCTTAACCTTAATACCTTACTGGTAGTTTGACTATAAAAGTATAATACGTGACTAATTCAATTTATCTTTTTAATTCCCACCACTATACTCGATGGTATCATTTGAGATGAATTCACCACCTTGAAGACATTCAGTACGAAAGAGTCACAGTAAGTTTTAGCAATGATATTTACGATTTTCTGGATGCGATTTAAAACATCGACTTCAGGATTCCACTTGATATTGAAAGTAAAATATTCTGACAACCTACCAATTCCATTACCGCAACTAAAAACCATACCCCATTGCCTTCAGGATATATTACTTGCCCCACCAAACAATAACGCCTGACTACCGGCCTGTAATCTATATAAATGTGATTTTAGTTTATTACTCTCTAAACTACAAAAAATTTAAATGGACGCCTCATTTTTATCAGACCGCTGAAGTCGAAGCAGCCAGTAGCAAAATGAAACATTTCTATAATCTAAAACCATGTATGTAACTAGCTGTCTTGAAGACGATTTTGTATCCGAAACATGTGTCGATAGAATGAGATAATGTCTGGTCAATGCTAAATGTTACATATTAAAGGTTTTCTAGCCTGTGTATCAGAGAAACCTATATCTTGACTGGCCTCATCACCCAGAAAGTGTTGTTGTTTTTTTATTTTTGTTATTTGTAAATTGCAAGCACTGTTCGTTAAACTAGAAGGCACAGATGTGATATCAAAATTACAATAATGGCTTTGTGGAATCTCTTTGAATGTGATGTCGAGTTGACATGAAATATCAAAATAAAAAAAAACTATCCAAAAGGGATATCAGATACTCCGAAATAGAAAAAAAAGCAACTGTGAAGACTTTCTGAAATGGATGCCAAGATGGCAAACCTAGTCCCAGTCCAAGCCAGTCCAGTCCCCGAGTGGCATCCGGTCGTCAATTTCTAGAGTATAGAGTAATGAAGATTAATGAGATTATGATAGAGAGGACATGATTGTCTACTGGTTCCATCAATCTTCTGATTGTCTGTGAATACCAGGAATCGATGGCACCGTCTCCAAAATATAAAAGATTCTACCGATCCTCTTATTAAATATTGTTTCAATGAATTTTAAATAGATATTTGTGAAATAGATAAAAATCAAATTTAAAGCACTATCAATTGGTAAAGCAAGTACTTTACTGTATATGTATATAAATGACAGAGAGATATGGTCAACATTGTGCATTGTTTGGATTACTGAACACACATAATGTCATTTATTGTTTACAGTATTTCCAAACAATTATAAATTACCATGCATGCCACTTAAAGTGTTTATATTTACAAAAACTCAGTGACTCAAGGAGGCCCGTGGACTAAAATGGGTTGGGGCCCTTCCCCCGGGATTGTTTTGTATTATGCTCTCTTGTATTTTTTTCTCGGAGGTGTAGACCCCTTAGGGGTAGGGTCCGTGGACTAGGTTCAACCATTTACCCGTGGTAGTTGAGCCACTGCAAAAATTTCTATAGTACCAATCAAGTATGCTTACAAGCTATACACAATAGTTTGATATTTTGTAGAAGGGATTTTGTTAGAATATTTGTGATTAGTGACATACTTGTCTTGGATACAAATGAGAACAAGAAATCAGTATCATCAGTAGAATTAGGTTAATTAGGGTCACAAGTCAAACCACTAAGTGATAGATCCTACAGAACTACAGACTGACTGGTTATAGAAGATCCATATTACTTGTATAATCCATTTGAAAGGGAGGGATATGACATAAAACAGATAAAGATAAAAAGTTCTCTCTACTGACAATTATTGATAAGCTAAAAACTTATTCCGGAATATTAACAAAACATATATATTGTTGAAAAATTGAAAAATTTATATAGTTACAATTCATGTTCTTATCTTGTCCTTTTTTAGGTTTATCAATACCAATTCTTACAAACAAGACAATTCCGTTAATCAAAATCGCATGTCAAAATTGAGAGTCAAAATTGTATTGTTGACTTCTCTAAAAAAATGAAAAGAAATGAAATGAATGGAGTTTAACGTCTGCATTGTGCAATGAGGGAAATTTTGCCAGGACAGCTGCATTAGCATGCACATTAACGTGCCAAGTCTGTAGCACATGGGGTCTCGGTTTATTGTCCCATCCGAACGACTAGACGTTTTTCCATGTCGGCCTCTCTTAGCAGCATCACCGACACTGAAAGTGGGTTGAAAAATCCGATGGTATTATATCGTCGTATGCCGGGATTCAACTCACAGAGCCATCGCGGCTCCCGACTCCTGCAAAGAGAAGGAGAAATTGACGACTCAGGTTTGTTCTTTTAACGATTGCAAATGTCGTAGAAACAAAAGTAATATTTAAGGTCACAACCTTTGAGCCTACAGCGAATTGATTACAGTAGTACAACATAGTATAACACCGGCCTTAGGGAATTTCTCGACAGTTGTTATCCATCTTTCCTCGAGAAGTAAGCGATCACATCTAACCTTATAAACTATTCTGCTTAAAGTGGATCTAAAAAGTTAGTGGGGCATATAATGATAAAAGGTCTAATTTTAGAAGGTGAACCCCATCTTCAAGCCGTGCTGATGTGGATTGTTTATCCCTCATTTGGCTCCAGATCACGGATTACTCTTTGTTTTAATCTTATGGAAAAACGTAGAATGCATTCACTCATGGAAAAATGTGTATATTAACATATCTTCCATGTCAATCTTTCTCTTTAATACAACTTCCATGTCAATCTTTCCCTTTGATATATCTTCCATGTCAATCTTTCTCTTTAATATATCTTCCATGTCAATCTTTCCCTTTAATATATCTTCCATGTCAACTTTCCCTTTAATATATCTTCCATGTCAATCTTTCTCTTTAATACAACTTCCATGTCAATCTTTCTCTTTAATACATCTTCAATGTCAATCTTTCCCTTTAATACATCTTCCATGTCAATCTTTCCCTTTAATATATCTTCCATGTCAACTTTCCCTTTAATATATCTTCCATGTCAATCTTTCCCTTTAATATATCTTCCATGTCAATCTTTCCCTTTAATATATCTTCCATGTCAATCTTTCCCTTTAATACATCTTCCATGTCAATCTTTCTCTTTAATATATCTTCCATGTCAATCTTTCCCTTTAATATATCTTCCATGTCAACTTTCCCTTTAATATATCTTCCATGTCAATCTTTCTCTTTAATACAACTTCCATGTCAATCTTTCTCTTTAATATATATCTTTCCCTTTAATACATCTTCCATGTCAATCTTTCTCTTTAATATATCTTCCATGTCAATCTTTCTCTTTAATATATCTTCCATGTCAATCTTTCTCTTTAATACATCTTCCATGTCAATCTTTCTCTTTAATATATCTTCCATGTCAACTTTCCCTTTAATATATCTTCCATGTCAATCTTTCTCTTTAATACATCTTCCATGTCAATCTTTCCCTTCAATACATCTTCCATGTCAATCTTTCCCTTTAATATATCTTCAATGTCAATTTTTCCCTTTAATACATCTTCCATGTCAATCTTTCTCTTTAATACATCTTCCATGTCAATCTTTCTCTTTAATACATCTTCCATGTCAACTTTCCCTTTAATATATCTTCCATGTCAATCTTTCCCTTTAATATATCTTCCATGTCAATCTTTCCCTTTAATATATCTTCCATGTCAATCTTTCTCTTTAATATATCTTCCATGTCAATCTTTCTCTTTAATATATCTTCCATGTCAACTTTCCCTTTAATATATCTTCAATGTCAAACTTTCTCTTTAATACATCTTCCATGTCAATCTTTCCCTTTCATATATATACCAAGTCAATCTTTCCCTTTAATACATCTTCCATGTCAATCTTTCCCTTTAATATATCTTCCATGTCAATCTTTCCCTTTAATATATCTTCCATGTCAATCTTTCTCTTTAATATATCTTCCATGTCAATCTTTCCCTTTAATATATCTTCAATGTCAATCTTTCCCTTTAATACATCTTCCATGTCAATCTTTCTCTTTAATATATCTTCCATGTCAATCTTTCCCTTTAATATATCTTCCATGTCAATCTTTCCCTTTCATATATATACCAAGTCAATCTTTCCCTTTAATACATTTTCCATTTCAAACTTTCCCTTTAATACATTTTCCATGTCAAACTTTCTCTTTAATACATCTTCCATTTCAAACTGTCCCTTTAATATATCTTCCAAGTCAGACTTTCCCTTTAACATTTATAATGAAATATAGTTTATTGATATTCTCCGCGGATCAGCTGGCTTACTGAAACCATTAGATATAAACATTGCTTCGTACAGTGCTGCAGTAAATCATGTACGAGAATATTAAGGTCACATACAAACAAGGAGAAAATTACTGCGATATTTTCTAATGCATTTATCATATTTCAATTTCCGAATGAAGTGGCGTGTTTCGTGAAGCTATATTGACGTTGGTGTTGTTTAGTAGGAATAAATCGCTGATGTAAATGGACGATTCTGCTTCTAAATTGAACATAAATTGTGCTGGAATTGATTCGTATAAAGTACCTAACAACAAGAATAATCCGCTTATTTTCTATATAAATGAAATGGAAAAAGTTAATTTGAAGGCGAGGGTCATATGTCGTACTTTTTTTACTCTAGAATGTATTCTGATCACAGAATGCCAGCACACTAAGCTAGATGTTTTAGAACGATAGTTTTGTATCACTGGTCCCATTCGGGCCATAAAAAACTGTCATAGTTTGTTAAGCAATCTGCTGGCTAGTTAGTCATAACAGTTTTGTTTGCTCTTGTCCAATTCTGACCACAGAAAACTGTCATTGTACCAAACAATCTGCTAGCTTGTTGGACACAATAATTTTGTATGCTCTAGTCCAATTCTGACCACAGAAAACTGTTATCTTACCAAGCAATCTGCTGGCTAGATGTGTTCGATATTTATTTTTTGGTGACTAGTTTGATAAGTTCAAGGGGCAGTCTGCTTATTCAAGTAGGTTTGGAAAAATAGGCGACCTCAATATACTAATGTATTTGTATTTATATTTCAGGTTTGATTTTCGGTTTTGATAACGTAGCGATAGAAACAGCAGTCAATGAAAGAATACAGCTATACAATGCCTATTCCAGAGATTCCGGAATCAAAATCAGTGCCAGAACTGTCCATATAGTTCCCTCCAATAGTTTTAATGTTAGTCGAGCAGGTGAGCCAAATTCTGTTGATATGGGTTCTTGTGGTTCTTTTATTTAGAGGGGGGTGGGGAAGAAGGGTTAAACAAGGGCTGTCACCATATCATATTTAAAGGGACATGTGCTCCAGTTGTTTTAACCAACCATACTTTAGTCTCAGATTAGCTTAGCCAATCAGTGATAGTGTTCACAGCTCACCTTCGAAATTTGAGCCTTCAAATCCATGTGTGCCCCGAATTATCCGCGATTGAATGTAAAAAATGACTCGTATGTCTGTGATATAGAAAAGACATATATAGAAATATTCCTAGTTTGAAGTATTTTGTAAAGGAATTATGCGATTTTTGCACATTTCTATAGTACTTCTGAGGACTATTTATACTGTGTTTAATCATCGTGACTGTGATGCCACTTTCCGACTGCGCTTGACAATTCAGGATCCCTTTACCCTACATCCTCTAAGTTGGCTCGTTCCAGCTTTTGTAGTACACTTCCTACTTGTATCTCGAATTGAAGTCATTTGAATCTTAATGATTGGCTCATTGACACATGAGGGTAGATTCTATGATCTTTTACACTATCTAGGTTGGCTTAATCGGTTTTCAGTAGTACCACGAGTCCTGTATTCGATTTTTAAAGTCATCTGAACGACCTAGATTTGCTTCATGATGCTGTAAGATTATTTCTTGATTTTTTATACAGTGGCGAATCACAAAAACGTCTGAGGGTGTGGGGGGGGGGGGGGGGGGTCAAATATGACGAGGCTCGGGTAGACATTTCGTGAAGTGCCCATTGACCTTTCACAGGACGGAGTGGGTAAGGGTTTCATGGCCCAATGGCTAACCCCTAAATCTAGGTATCCTTCATTTAGTAAACATCCTGATGGTAATATTTAAGTCCATTGGACTGTCATGATAGATGTATTTTGGATTACAATGTGTAATCATGATCGTTGTTATTGCCCTACACCGTCTATTCAGCTATTGTTCCTGTACCAATGTTCTACATCGTAATGTGATAGAGATCAATGCTGCCTTAACTGGCCTTCACCATTTCCAGATGTCTTCTCTTGTATTACACTTCACAATCTCTGTATATTGAGAGATTGAGTGTCATGACGGATGGAATTTGATTTTGATGTATGATCACAGCTGATGTAATGAATTTGTTACGGTGATAACAACAAATACTGAATTTCTCGTGTGAAAACAGAGAAAAACCACCACTAACACAATTTAATTGTTCTGCAATATTTTCCGGGGACGTGAAGTCTTTAATCTATCAATTTGTCACTATCAGAGCTCACTAATTGATCGTGAGTGATACCAGAGAGCCTGATAGTATTAAAAATTTATTTCCAGATCATATGGATTTGGTGAGATCTGTTCCCGTGGCGTGCAGTGCTTACTCGGTAATCTTGGTAGATCTCATCAGTTTACTCTTTTCTTAATTCAATTTGGTACACTATTGACCTACTTTTTTTATGTGAACTGGTAGCTCAACACTGTGGTGTTGTTAAAGTGTCCAATTTAAGAATACAGGGTTAATAACCGGGAATGTATAAGGGGGCCAGATCACAGAGATTTGTCCATGTGAAGTATTTCTTAGTAGAAATAATCTCTGAGGATCTGTACTTTATTCAGTGTAATTATAAATCACAGGAGATGACCTAACTTAATTTGTACCTTATAATAAGATTGCCGCTACTAGATATAGAAATTGTTGCCCTCTGACCACAGAAAACTGTCATTGTTACAAACACCCTGCTGGTAAGCTGGACACGATACTTTGGTTAGCTCTTAATGGCATATAGGCAGTAGTTTCGGGCCATGACCTCCTTCCCCGGGCCATGAAAAGTGAAATAATCATTATACTTTCACTTCCGAAATATTCTCCGGCTTCCTACATTCGCAACTTTTCCAGGGTAAGGCCCCCGTCATCCCCCGCCATGACGAGTGACCCTCTAAATTATGCGAATGGCCGTTGGGGCGCTCGTATGCCATCAGACCCCCCACCACCACCACCACACACACCCTCACATACACATACACATACACATATACATAGATAATTTTCTATTTTCTCAATGTTGCTGGATAATTTGACACTTTAGTTTGGTGTGATTGATCAAGCAAACAACTACAAAATTTCATTTCCTACATGTCAGTAATTTCACTATAGTTCGTTAGATTCTATTGATATTTAAAACAAATAAACTAAGTGGAACATTATAATATGATTGTTACGAAATATCATGATCAGAATAGAAATGTCATTAAACCTATAGGGATACATTATTACCATAAAATGAATGTTTTTGAGATATCAAATCAGTCAGCTAGATCCTGGCAGAAAGGTGAATTTTAAATTAACCGAATATGTTTTTGAGGAAATATGAATTTGATTGGAATGACAATCGGGCATAGCTAGTGCTCTCATGGGGAAAAGATGGAGTCCACATAGCTTATATTATTATTTGGTATACATGTATTTATCACACACCAGCATAAGCTCTATAATTGAGTAACTTTATCGAGTCTTAGCTCAACCTACATAAGCAGTGGCGGCGCCAGTACTAGAGGGGGGAGGGATATGTGAGGGGGCATTTGCCCCCCTAGAAAAGTGGTTTGCACCCCCAATTGTACACACTTTATTTTCAACAAATCTGAATGTCTACTTTTTTCTCCAAATTATGTGTCAGAATACATAAAATCATTTCATTTTTTCAACCCTATAAGACACTCTATGAGAGGCTTGCGATTGTGACACCACCGCAGAGTAGATAAAATTTGAATTCAGCCTCAGCAGTTGTCTCCCCATTGACTCAGTCCTCTATTTGTACCCCTAGTCTCGGAAGGCTGGTGCCTATTAGGGTATCGGCAAGACAGGAAGTGTTCACCTTCCACATCCACGCATCACCTGATGCAACTTTGCAAAAGGGTATGTCAACTCGGCACCACTTTCCAAGAGTTATATAGCTAATAATGTCTATTAAGTATAATTATCAGGAAAAAGATACAGGAGTACAGTCGAGTCTCGTTAACCGCACGTTTCCTTTCCCGATAAATTCGAATTTCCGATAAAAACGAATTCCCGGATAGTTGAAGCATGTACATTCTACAGTACATATTGTTCTGGTTTTCGACACTGATTCTATTAGAAACTTTTGAGGATTTTACCGCTTGAACGATATACATTACAAATTGGATTATACTGTAGTTAACGACCTACTCGAGCAATACAATCCTGGCGTCTGAGAATGGTTTGTCCTGCATGACATGATCTAATTGGACATTGGAGGATTTTACTAGCTATAAAACAAATTATATTGTACTACATCTAACTCTCATTCGACCAGTGTAAGGTGAAAGAGGTTTAGAGCGTAAAAGCAGACACTGGCCGACTTCCGGAAGTTCTCGCAGTTCTCATTTTCTGACCTTTCAGAGGATCCGAACCTACTGCATCTAATCGCCTAGTCGACGATAATCCAAGTTCTCGTCGACTGAGCTGTTTCACTGCCGCGAAAGACAATGCTCCAACCCAGAAATAGAGGGAAGTATTGAAGTTGACACAATTCCAAGGTTGCTAACCGCTTTAAGGAGATATTCATACGTGATATTCGAATGGATATTGAAACTGGTAAGGATAGACATTGGCTTTTCACATCGGATGAACTCATTAGGGCCAAATTTGTTCGGGTAGGACAATGTTAGGGTGATAATTCACAACAGTATTCCTAAAATTTTGCCAAAATAAACATGGGGTGGGGGGGTGTTGACAACTGCTACCTTATAATTGTTCTATTATAATAGTAATCATTTTCATTTTATTAGGCTAATAAAATGCTGATACAACAATTGTGTCCAATTCGCCAGCAGCGTGTTCGACACAATAATAGTTTTAAGCAGAAGTAAAGGGGTAAAGTAAATCTCCTTTAATCAAAACCCAAAGCGGAAGTCTAGGACTGATTGCCGAGTAACAATTTGCTACATCACGAAATACCATACGCCACTTATAGCGGTAATGTCTTTCCATTATCAGAATAAAATAGATTGTCTC